AACTAAAACCAATTATTATGGAAACTTCCCTCCACTAGATTTAATGAAAATTAGGATCGTATTGTATAAGAAATGCAGTTCCTCCACCAACATGGAGCAGAATCCCCAATTTTCCTTTTCAACATGCATACCACTGGAGTTTTTGATACCGAGGTTAGCAGTCCATCTATACTTACATTTGCTTCCCTCCGGGACGTGAACCATCAGATTCTCTTCTCCAGGGGGAGAGTCATTATATGAGGCCTCCAGTCGCTGATACTCAGTATCAAAGTGAGCCATGTTGTCATCTAAATTCTTATAAACTCTGACATAAAGGGCAGTGAAGGACAGAGAGAAGAGGGATCAGCAATTTGATGTAATTCCGAGCCATCATCAGTCAAATAGGCAGTTCATAACTTCTTCTTTTAAGCTATACTTACATACATAATACCAAACAGACTAAGAGAAGAGGAAACTATTAAGAAACTATAGCAACAGGGCAGAAAATTATGGAAGTTACTAGTTTTTCTTTTTGCCCCCCCCCCCTTTTTTTTTTCCTGAAGTCTGAGTGGCTCACCTCTCTGATCACTACTTGAGGATAAAACAAGAAGGAAAAACACTTCATTTCATTAAAAATTATGTTCATTGTCCAGCCATTCAACTTTCATTGCCTCCATGTTTACAAGCTGCAGTCTGTTACAAGATACACTCCTAAAACAAAAAAACATATTACATAAGCACAGATTTGACACAAATAGTTATGCTGTATCAAGCTCTCCCTAAATGCAAATGAAATTATATTTTCCAGTCAAATAAATATACCACTCTCCTTTGGCCTTCACAAGAATGTTTTTCTAGTTTTATTTTCAGTTTCTTATTACAGTATTAAAATGCACATAAGTTGAAAAAATACATGCTACTTAAAAATAAATCTTAATGTAACAAATATATGGCATAAAATGCTATCAAGCAACCCTTTCATTTAAAAACAAAGCAAAAGGTTACATTAAAATGTAGAAAAACACAACAGGAAACTGACTGTCTCAGAAAACTAATTCTGCTACAAATGCCAAATTCTGGACTGTGAAGTCAACTCAAATACACTGAGTGCACAAGGAGAGGATTAATCTATAGTTAGCACTGCTGGTAAGCTACACGCAATTAAAAATTGATCTATTCAACATGCACAAATTAATATAGAATTGAAGCTTCGTGCTAGATGAGATGAAAGCTTATTGAACCCAGCACTGTAGGTTCAACAGACACAATACTCAGATAGAGCCTCTCGGGAGACCACAAGCAGGACATGTCTGCAACCACCACCTTCTATCATTGTCCTTAGAAATTAGGATTCAGACCATAACATTTCTGATATTAGAAAACCAAGATTATTTGTGGCCGTTGGTAGCAGTGGTGGGATTCAATTTTTTTTACTACTGGTTCTGGCGGGCGTGGCAGGGAAAGGGTACTGTAAAATCTCCAGTCAGAGGTGGTATTTGCCAGTTCTCCAAACTACTCAAAATTTCCACTACCGATTCTCCAGAACTGGTCAGAACCTGCTGAATACCACCTCTGATTGGTAGACTTCTTCATGAAATTTTAATGCTGTCCCCTTTGGACAATCACTACATTCCAGGGCAAAGAATCTTAACAGCTTCATAGTTTGCCATACCAGCATACTTTTATACACTAAACTACATAATTTCTTGCATATCCATCCTTCCTTTGGGACAGCCAATGTTACTGTTGCAGTGTCCTTTGAGAACCCATATAGTGGATTTCAAGTATCAGCATTCAAGTATCAACTGTTTGTATCAATTCATTATTCTACAGTACTGTGTTAGCAATTTTAAATTAAGCATGGGATTTTTCTTTTTCCCAACTGCCATAAGTCAACTTTCTTCAGAGAGCTACACACCACAAATCCCATGAAGAACCCACTGGTGTATATGTATTTCTTCCTTTAATTTTTTTTTGCTCCATTATATATCATTTTAGTATTACCTACGCTAAATTATATTTGTCATTTTAATTCCTACACATTCTTTAAAAAAGATCATTTTAAAGTGCTTCACACTTCACTTTTCTTTCAATCACTCTTAACTATCTAGGTTTTCATAGACAGTAAGAGATCACTATGGGTTTTGTGATAAGATTGTGATACAAATTTTTTTTCCTAAAAAATAATAATCACACACCAAATAGTCCTAGCACTTCTAGTGAAGTGAATTTTTACATACTGTGATTCAGTTACTAGCATGCCGCTTTGCTGCAAACATAGTAAACATGGTTTGTGTAGGTTAGAACTGAATGCTACAGTTTTTCAATTTTTTATGGTTTTAATGCAGATCCCTGAGATCTGGAAATTATTTCTGTTCCTCCTGAAAAAAAATGGTGAGAAAGGCCAGTCTATATAATGTGAAATGTATTATTTAGTTTAATCTGATTACCATAAAATAATATATTCTTTTACTCTATCATTAAGCTTATTTGGAAGCTTTTCATAAAAGATTCTGTTAATAGTACTGACAAAAATTATGCAATATCTTTCAAATCAACTCATATGAAAGCATATTAATGTTAACTAAAGAACATGTTATTTAAACGGACATGCTTTCTAAATAGAATATAATTCTGAGTTCTCATAATTTCCAAATATCCTTAACCTTTTAAAACTTCTTTCAATTTACTGATATTTTTTTTTACTGATTTCATTTTTTTAAAGATTAGTCTACTAAAATCAAACTTCCTTGGCTATTATGTGTGTGTGTGTGTGTGTGTGTGTGTGTGTGTGTATGTACTATTTCCAGTCAATTCAACAATATTTATACAGTATTTTGCCTCATATTCATTTAGAAAACTTGTAACCACAACAGAACACAAGCCTGCTTCAGTCTTCTGATATTATCTCTCACAGATTTTTAAACAGAATTACTATAGTTCCAAATGTATTTTAAATGCAAAAAGCAAGAGTGCATACCTGTAACTGGTCTATGTCACCTGCTATGTATGTATATGTGTGTGTGTGTGTGTGTATGTGTGTGTATGTATATATATATATATATGTGTGTGTGTGTGTGTGTGTGTGTTTTCTGAGGTTTTCGCAGGTATTTGTATATGGATCTTTAGTTATTCGGGTTTTCTCCCGCGTAAAATTGGAAGTATTTTGGCGACGTTTCAACAAAATCTCATTCGTCATCTTCAGGCTTGTGTCTTCGGCTTTGTGCTTCTTGGAGTAATGTCAAAATGTCGCCAAAATACTTCCAATTTTATGCGGGAGATATATATGCATTCATACATGTCTTCTTGGGCAAGATCACAATCTATCTAGTCAAGATTTACATAAATTGTACCAAAGGGCTGTGTTAGGTGGCCAACTGAAAATCAACTAGTAGTCCATTACCAATTTTCTGATGCTGCTGGGTTAAAAGGTCCCAGGAATACAATAGCATGGCAGACGATGCTCTTGCCTTCTGAGCACATGCTTGCATTGTTGCCAGTTCTGCAAATAAAAACAATCACATCAAACTTTAAATGTTTCTCTTGGTGTGTTTAGGATAAAATCTGTCCTTGTCCAGCAGAGAGGCAACCCAACCCACCCACAAGAAACAGCAGCTAATCTACTGCCTACCATTATTCTGACAAACCGCCTCCATCTGTAGTGTGACAGAATTAAGGAATTAAAGAGAAACTTCCTAACAGTGAGGACAATTAACCAGTGGAACAGCTTGCTTTCAGAAGTGGTGGGTGCTTCATCACTGGAGGGTTTTTTTTTGTTTTGTTTTTTAAAGAAGAGACTGAAATGGTATAGAGCAGGGGGCTGGACTAGAAGACCTCCAAGGTCCCTTCCAGCTGATTCATTCTATTCTAAAATAAACCCTTCCCAATGCATAAGAACAAAACGGGACAACCAAAAAACCAAAACCTAACCTGTTCCATCTTGCCCTAATGCTGAAGAAACCTTCTGTTTGTTTTGTGGCTGGCAAGACCGAGCGGCATGGTGGGCGTCTCTAAGCCTTGAATCTCCACAGCGTTTTTAGCACCTGGTAGGCTGGGTGCCTGGGGAAAAACAAAAACAAAAACACAACAACCCCAAAGCACATTTACAGTGGCGGTTTCCAACGGTGGTGGAGGAGGAGGTGGGGGGGACCCTTTATGTAAGTATCAGGAGAGCGAGAACCAAGAGCCTCCCTCCTTTTCAGCAATTGCACCAGACCCGCAGAGCGCAGAAGCCGGCAGAGGCCCATCCAACCCGGGCCAGGTGGGGGTGGGGTGGGGGTTCTAGCCAGGTGAGCAAAGGTGAAACTAACCCACCACCCTCGGGCGACCTGGCCATTGGGACTTGCTATGTGGGGCTGGGCTCGGTGTCGGAAGTCTCCCCTGCCGAGGGAAACCCCCCCGCCGCCGCCGCCGCCGCCTTCTTCCCCTCTATAGACCGGGCGCGTCTGAGCGAGCGCCGGACTCCATTCAGGCAGATAGTCCCGATATGTTGATTTGTTTTGGCTGCGGGAGCTCCGGTAGGGAGGAGCCTTCCTCCGGGGTTGTTTACACGGGAGAAGGGAAGCTCGGGTTGGAGAGGACGCGGGGAGCTCTTCTCCTCCTCCTCCTCCCCGGCTTTTCCCCGGAGTTAAGGAGGCTCACCCTCTGCGGTCGCCCCTGGTAACCTGCCAGGGCCGCCGCTACCGCCGCGACTTGGGGGAATTGTCACTCACTCTTTCTCCTCCGCCGCCTTTTCCTCCGTCTGGCGTCTTCCGCTACCAATCAGAGGTCACGACGGGCCGAAGAGGTACAATCAGGGCGGACCAATGAGAAAGCCGTTGGGGTGGGGAGGAAGTGAGAAGGCGAGGATTGTCTTGTAAGGGAAATCCACGATGATGGACGGAAGTGACGTCTCTCTCACCCGGTGACAGAGTCGACGAGCTCGTGGAGCGGGGCCCAGATCCTTGCTCCGGTGGGCTGTTCGGAGGTATAAGGGGTGGCTTAGGCTGTCGCCTCCCCCCACCCCCCAGGATAGTTGAGGGTGACAACAGCCAGTTGGTGGTTTATAGGTTAAGTAAAGTGATTGCAGAGGTGTTTTGAATGTTGCCCCTCCACTTATTCTGTGTCTTTATTATAGGGAATACTAGGTACGTTGATACAAACAGGGTCGCAATTTCGACCTGTCTACTAATAAGTGTAAGCTCTTTCAAGGACAGTCCCAGAAGTCTTTCTGATTTTGTCCATCCACCTGATCTGTTGTGCCATCCCCCCCTTTTTCTACTTATCTTAACTTTGCCAAACGGTTTTATATAGTCCAACATCTACCCTGTATCACATTATGAAATGGTGTGTATTTCTACTTGTAGATTGCTAACACAAGGGAACAGTCATTTTTTTGATCCAGGATTGGCTGGCTCTTCTTGCCGTCCACAGTTCTCTTAGAGACAATTTCCAGCTCCCCAATTCATAGGTATATCTTTTTTTTCTTTCACTCTTTCTCGTTATAATGTATAACTTTCACAGTTATACATTATTACTCAAAGATTATAATGTTTAGCCATTCTTTTTGTTACAGAAATGCTCTTTCATCATGTATGTTTGTCTTCCTCTCTAGGATTAATTTCTCTTTATATCTGCGATATAGTCAATCTTGAGCCAAGGAAAACACCTCACCATCAGCTGTAAGTTCACTGAGCATGCTGCTCAACATTGTTTAATATTAACCCAAATGTTTTACACTTTCCATTTTTATTTTCACAACCAAATTTGTGTTATTTGCATTTCAAAAAGGGTATTCTGGCACTCCCATTAGTCTGATTGTATCGTATGCTGGTATGACTTATACCATCAGTGGTCTAGATGTACTTCCTCAAATTTTCTTGCTCTCTTCATTATCAATTTGTAACAGTCATCTGATTCCATGTCCTGCCTTTTTTGAAACTCATTTGACATTTCACTATGTTCTGTTTAATTCTTCTTTTAAATTTTAAGCCAAGTGAGATATATATACTAATCTTTTCCAGATTCCGGGCCATATAATTTTGTTTATATTTCAGAAATGTTAGCTCTAATAATCAATGAGTATCTGGTCTGGTGTGTATTGTATGTAATTTTCTAAGTTGGCTTTTGAAAGTATATTTTCTCTCTATAAATATGTATCATTCTAGAATCCTTTATATAAAAAGTTTTGGCATTGTATATTTATCTATTTTTAAGTCTACTTGTTTATTACAGCTCTCCAATGATGACTCATAGGTATTCCTACATTATTTTTTATTTTTTATTTGTTACCTTAAAATATTTTTCACTTATCCTTTTCCTGTCAGTTTTTTCAATTTGCTGGTATTCTTAATTGAGATGATTGTTTTTTCCTGCAACATACATGTATGTTGACTTACAACCATTTGTTTGGGGACCATTTGAACTTACAACAGCATTTAAAAAGTAAGTTACAATCAGTCTTCATACTTACGACCATTGCAGCATCCCCACGGTCATGTAATCAGAATTGAGGTGCTTGCAACCGGTATGTATTGCATTGTCCTGGGGTCATGCAATTGCCATTTGTCACTTTCCCAGCTGGCTTTTCGACAAGCAAACTTAATGGAGGAAGCTGGATTTACTTAATGACTGCACAATTCACTTAACTGCATCAATTCACTTAACAACCAAGGCAAAAAAGATTGTAATATCAGGCATGACTTATTTGACAACCATCTTGCTCAGCAATGAACATTCTGGCTTCAATTGTGCTGGCAATTCTCTACCTTTGCACTTCCTTTATACCTTAGGGGAGGGGCAATCACCTCTCAGCCTTACTCTGGGTCACTGAGAGTAATGGTAGGTCATAGTACCATATCAAGATGGTATGGAATAGCAGCTTAATCTACTTAGGTAAGAATGAAATAATTAGCTCTAGGCATGCTTCTTCCTGTCCTTTTCTATTTCCCATTGGAAGTGGAGTGAGGTAAATTGCATCCCTTTCAGAAGCCCCTGTTGAATTTAAATAACAATTGTCTTTACTGTATATCTGTTCTTAAAATTTGCTGATTTTTCTCCATCTTTTCAGACCATGCAGCCTATTGAAACCTTGTCTGTGTTTGAAGCTGCTCAGAATACAGCTTTAATGAATGGACTTTGCCTTGTCACTGAATCAACAGAAGATATCACTTCTGTGGCAATTCCAGGTGCTGAATTTATGGGCAACATATGTTATAAATGTGGGTGGGGAGATTCAGCAAATGGCTACATGTTTACCTGATTTTGGTTGGAACAACCATGACTTGGATGACAGAATCTCCATAAACATTTACCAGATTTAAAGTCTTCAGTTTCAAGTTGAAATTGGTTTTGTTTTCCATTTTAGTTTGTTCCCTAGAATCCAGAAAATTAATGCTAGAGTAAGCTAGCCAAATTTTATTAGGCCACAGGCGTGTACTACAAATAAATGACTGCTGTTCATATAATAGCTTAACCTTACAGAAACTTCAGACTTGGAACATTGTGATATACCTGACATTCTTTGAAGTGTTGACCGATTTTTTCCTGTTGCCATTGCCTTGTACTCTTAGAACTACCATAGTTGGATTCAGCAGTCTGGATGACCACTAAATGGCAGCAAAGAATTTGGTTATGTTTAATAAAACAACCCTTTGAACTGGTCAGCATTACCAAATCCACATCTTATATAGTGGGTTGCAATATAGTTTGACATACAGGTTGAGTGGAATATGATCCAGGTAGCTAAAAATTTCCTGTGTTGTCTTGAAATTATAGCAGAAAGAGTAATTCTGTATGGTGTTCCAGGGAAAAGGTTATAATGGATCCTTCTTGGTTAATTCTCAGATATCTGTATTGTATTAAGCATCTTCTCAAAGCTAATGAAATCACGAGAGTTGACCCTGTGAATGACCTCAGTTAGACATAACAGGAAACCACTGTTTTCCCACAGTGTGACTGAACTTCAGCCAGCCTTGAGTTTCTACATTTTCTTCCTATCCTATTTTTGGTCTACCAGTTAAAAACATTAGGAATATCTGTTTTTAAGATAGTTATCATATTAACAAAGAATAGTTTCCTTAGTTGTTAAAGGGAGCTGAGGTTAATTGTAAACAGCTGAAAATAGGAAGCAAATGCTCCTGATCATTTCAGATATTAAAATAGGAGAAGTGACATGGAGAAAATAGAAATAAAGCTGAGCTACCACCTGAAATTTTCATGATTAGTATACAAATTTAGTACATTTATTTCTTTAGCAACTATTTAAAATTAATTTAATACTTTTAAATAATTTGTTTTTATGTTTTCTACATGGGAATATTGCAATTCAGATTTTGAGAGAATGGATTCAGGTTTACAACTGTATGGTTCACTTAACTGTCATAAAAACAGTTATCAAATTGGATATGGTCACATGGCTGACTTGCGTTATGACCATTATGACTTATGAGCGAAATTCCAGTCCCAGTAGTGGTCATAAGTCAAGGAGTACCTGTATATGAATTCATCTTATTAAGCCAAATGACAGAATTGGGTTTTATTTTAAAAAATCTGTTTTCATTTTAATTTTAAGGCTGTTATAAATCAATGTCTACCACAGATAATGTGTTTTTTTCTGTGACTGATGAAATGCTGTGCCTATTTTCAATGAATTTTTATAAAGACATACATTCATCACATAATTTTGTGTTATTGGTGCCCATTTTTTGCTGTTCTTGCAGAAACCAAGGAACTCCAACAAGCTAAGTTAATCCTAGAGGTATCAGACCGGATGTATTGCTCTGTTTGCTCAAAGGCTTTTGAGAATCGAGATGAACAGGTAGCCATTACTGCAAGCATTTTCTGTATGAACAGGGCAGTCTCTTGCTTCAAAGGAAATCTGGGGATTTTAAATTATTCAAATTATTGCAGAGAGAGCCGTGTATTGATGGGAATTGTTTCTATGTGTAAAATCATAAAGGCATTTCAGATTCATTAAGAATTTTTGCCTATTCATCACAAGAAATTAAGTTCCAATCTTTTGAACTACTTACTATTTCTATTTAGAAAGAGCATTATCGGTTAGATTGGCATCGCTTCAACCTAAAACAGCGATTGTTGGGACGTCAGATGCTCACAGTTGAAGAATTTGAAGCAAAGACTCAAGCAGGTGAAAAAAAAAAAACATACGGATAAGAGTCATTATTGCTTCAGGATTCTGTTAATTCTTATGATTTCAATCAACTAACTTGTGGCCTAGCAGAAAAATTCTAATAATCCAGCTATGAAGTTGTTAACAGATTAATGAAAGTGAATCCTTAGAATCACCAATTATGTATTTATTTATTTATTTATTCTTACCTTATTAGTTTATAAATAACTCAATGCAATGTTACTTTGTATACAGATGATGTCTCCAGTATCTCTGGTTCTGATTCCAGTGACTGTGAGTCAAATAGTGAATCTGAATCACAATCTTGTCTGAATGGTGAAAGAAAAGGAACCGGCTACTACAACCCACGCTCTCAACGCATACTGTTCAAAAACTCTGAAGCCCAACTCATTTCAGTCTTTCGCTGTGTGCTGCTAAACACCACAAAGGCATGTCAGAAAACACGTGGTCTTATTCTAGCTTTTTCTTCTTTTAATCGCTAGTTGCCCATTAGCAAACGAAGCACTTAGCTTTTCAGCTGTAAAACACAAAAGGACACACATTGGACATCCAGTCTAGGCTTTAAGTGATCCAGTGTGTTCTGCAGAATTATTAACTCTTGTTTTTTCCACCTAGTTTTCTGCTTTCATGGGCTACAGCCTCTATTCCAAGCATTCTGAGTCTCTGAGCAATATTGTTATCTCATCTACCTGAGGTTGCTCTTCAGTTCTTGTGGTCATTATATTAGAATACAGGTGGTCCTAATTTAGCAGCCACAATTAGGACTGGCAGCCTGATCATTAAACAAAGTGATCGCTCAGTGAGACTGCAACTTCAGCTTTCCTTTGCTTAACAGACCTGTGAAGATCATAATTGTAATAAAAATGTTACTTTTTCATCACTGATGAAAGTGTGAACAGTTGGTAAAGGAGGCAGTTGCTAAACGATGATTACCAATATCTGTCAATTGCCCTGGTTTTTTGGCTGTGATTTTTCTCAGCCAGCTTATTTCTGAGTGGGATGTTTATGAACTAAAACATGTTTTGTTTTAAACTTGGAACCAAATAGCCCTTTCAAAATCATTCTAGTTTGATTATATTTCAGCAAAGCAAGTCCCATGTTGTCCCAGTTTGCATTTTTTCCTCACTGAAATGATTTCTCCCTGCTCATGGTTAGTTTCCTTGGAAAGAATTGTCTTTTTCTATGGGATGGTTGCAGTTTTCCAATTTCCCATGTTCCGTGGAAAAGAACATCTTTTTGGAATCACTATTTTTTACTTTTGTATTTATGTTGCTTGGAAATGCAGAATTTCCCTTTAGTACATTAAAACCTTAACATTTCTCTGCAGGCCAAGAATATCCTAAAGATCTCCAACAGCCAGTTTGCAGGTGTTTGTGTATATGTATGTGTGTGTGTGTGTTGCTTAGTTTAACCTTTCACTAATTGAAGAGGTTGCTGTATCTCCAGGGCAATTTTGAAGAGCCTGCAGATCTAGTGGCTTCCCTTCAGAGGCAGAATCCCAGAATCTCCTGGGTTATCCTGATGGCTGGTGGAGGTCACTTTGCTGGAGCTGTTTTTCGGGGGTAAGAAATGGAGGATCTTGCTGTTATGGTGGATCTTCTCTGCACTGTAAATCAGATCTGTTAGAAGGCTGAAGGACACTATGGCTTTGCGCATAGCTAACACTAAAGCATTCTTGGCTTGATTTTTGCTCAGGTTGTTTGACGTTGTATAAAGCATGTAGTGCAGTTAATTCAGGGAATGGATGGAGGCGGGGGAGGGAGAAAGAATGGGAGAGAGAGGGAGAAACTGAGACTGATCGATCTGTACTGCATATGCACAATATGGACGCTTAGTTTTTTCTGAAGCAAGAAGGGTAATAAAAAGAAAGGAGATTCCTCAAATAAGCAGCAAATATGAGAATTCTCCCTGGATGGAAGAATCCTTCTTCTTCCCCCTCCCCACAAATCCTTGAATTAATTATCACTCTTATACCATTCCTCTTGGGGATTAAATCAATTAAAATAAAACCCAGTTTCACTCCCTGTGGCCCAGGATTTCAGAAGTCATTTAAAATTTTGATTACATAATAAGAAAAGAGAGCTACATGTAATTAGCTTGAATTGTAGGGTCACAGATATTCTTTTTCTTTTAAATGCAACGTTTTGTAAAAAAAAAAAAAACTCTAAAAGTTGCTTTGCATATACAGGTGAAACTCGAAAAATTAGAATATCATGCAAAAGTTCATTTATTTCAGTAATGCAACGTAAAAGGTGAAACTAATATATGAGATAGCCTCATTACATGCAAAGCAAGATAGTTCAAGCCGTGATTTGTCATAATTGAGATGATTGTGGCTTACAGCTCATGAAAACCCCAAATCCACAATCTCAGAAAATTAGAATATTATGAAAAGGTTCAATATTCTAGGCTCAAAGTGTCCCACTCTAATCAGCTAATGAAACCATAACAACTGCAAAGGGTTCCTGAGCCTTTAAATGGTCTCTCAGTCTGGTTCAGTAGGAATCACAATCATGGGAAAGACTGCTGACCTGACAGTTGTGCAGAAAACCATCATTGACACCCTCCATAAGGAGGGAAAGCCTCAAAAGGTAATTGCAAAAGAAGTTGGATGTTCCCAAAGTGCTGTATCAAAGCACATTAATAGAAAGTTATGTGGAAGGGAAAAGTGTGGAAGAAAAATGTGCACAAGCAGCAGGGATGACTGCTGCTGGAGAGGATTGTCAGGAAAAGGTCATTCAGAAGTGTTGGGGACTTTCACAAGGAGTGGACTGAGGCTGGAGTCAGTGCATCAAGAGCCACCACACACAGACGGATCCTAGACATGGATTTCAAATGTCGTATTCCTCTTGTCAAGCCGCTCCTGAACAACAAACAATGTCAGAAGCGTCTTACCTGGGCTAAAGAAAAACAGACCTGGTTTGTTGCTCAGTGGTCCAAAGTCCTCTTTTCTGATGAGAGCAACTTTTGCATCTCATTTGGAAACCAAGGACCCAGAGTCTGGAGGAAGAATGGAGAGGCACACACTGCAAGATGCTTGAAGTCCAGTGTGAAGTTTCCACAGTCTGTATTGATTTGGGGAGCCATGTCATCTGCTGGTGTTGGTCCACTGTGCTTCATTAAGCCCAGGGTCAACACAGCTGTCTACCAGGACATTTTGGAGCACTTCATGCTTCCTTCTGCAGACGAGCTTTATGGGGATGCTGACTTTATTTTCCAGCAGGACTTGGCATCTTCCCACACTGCCAAAAGCAACAAAACCTGGTTCAATGACCGTGGGATTACTGTGCTTGATTGGCCAGCAAACTCGCCTGACCTGAACCCTATAGAGAATCTATGGGACATTGCCAAGAGAAAGATGAGAGACATGAGACTGAACAATGCAGAAGAGCTGAAGGCCGCGATTGAAGCATCCTGGTCTTCCATAACACCTCAGCAGTGCCACAGGCTGATAGCTTCCATGCCACACTGCATTGAGGCAGTAATTTCTGCAAAAGGGGCCCAAACCAAGTACTGAGTACATATGCATGCTTATACTTTTCAGAGGTCCAATATTGTTCTATGTACAACCCTTGTTTTATTGATTGCATGTAATATTCTAATTTTCTGAGATTGTGGATTTGGGGTTTTCATGAGCTGTAAGCCATAATCATCACAATTATGACAAATCACGGCTTGAACTATCTTGCTTTGCATGTAATGGATCTATCTCGTATATTAATTTCACCTTTTAAGTTGCATTACTGAAATAAATGAACTTTTGCACGATATTCTAATTTTTCGAGTTTCACCTGTATGTATACATCCATACACACATATATATATACAACACTGAGTTACAATTCATTCCTTTTTTGCTTATATCCAATAATAGGAATTTATAAAAGATACTATATGGTATCTATGTCATTACAATATTCGTACATGTTAGCAGAGAGGGATTCAAGTATTAAAAGAAGACAGAAACTACCAAGCTTCTGTAATAGGGGAGCTGCCACTGTGCCTCTATTAAGCTGCCTTTCTTTTCATTGAAGGCTGTCTTTGATAAAATGTGGGGAAATAGCATAAGTTTCCAGGCTAGTATTGATGTTGATGTCATGGTAATTCACGTAAGGGAGAGAATTGGTGGAAGAAGGAATGGTAGACACTTGGATATTTTACACATTTGTGTAACAAAGGAAGATTTCCCGTTATCTATCTATCTATCTATCTATCTATCTATCTATCTATCTATCTAT